TTAGACATAAAAACCGTTAATATACGCAGGATATTTAAAATAAAATTTTCGTTTTCACGATGATAGAATTTTTGTGTTTTATCTATAATTAATTTAATTTCGATCATGATTTAATGCTTACATGTATAAATCTTCGAATAACAGAGCGAAGAATTCATTACAATTTATTAGAAATACTTATATAATATAAGCCATTTTAAAACGATCCATAAATAAAACTGTTCATAGTTTGATTAATTAATCAATTCAAGACTTTGAGAACGTTCAACAAAGTAAGTATTTTAATTTAAAAGTCCAAAACAAACTTTGTGCAAAATAAATGCCATAAGGAGCGGTGTTAGCTTAATGGTTAAGGCACTGGCCACTTAATCCAAAGGCATGAGTTCGCGCCCTGTGTATGGTGTGGTGATCTTTTTTTTTTTAATAATTTGAATTTCGTTCTTTTCCTTATTTTTACCAAATCAAGATATGTGTGAACTCGACATTTATAATTTGTAATGACAAATCACTAAAATAATAATTTTTCACCCATAAAAACAGTAATATCGATTATGTAATGGTGGCTTAATGGTGGCTTAATGGTAGCTTACTGGAGCTTGGACATTAAGCACCTGTAAGTCTACCTTAATGGTAGCTTAACGGTGACTTAATGGTGGTCTAAAAGCTACCATTAAGGAACTGTAAGCCACCATTAAGCTACATTTAAGCACCCATTAAAGGTACTTGGACACAGATTTGAAGTTAATTTTTTCTCTATAATATAACGAATTATATATTTTAATAGCATTTTACACAAAAATTGATTAAAAATCTTATTTCATTTAAAAGTTATTAAAACTTCAAATTTTTGGCGGGTTTGATTGACAAATCCTTGCACTTTTACAAATTTTGATTTTACTCTTAATACTTAGGAAAAGCGGCAATCTTGTTGTGTATGAATGAAAAATATTAATACTATAATCCAGAAAATTCAGAGTAGACATGTTCAAAAGCAAAACAAACACACATTATATTCTCAGTCCGTGCAGTTGTGGTGAGCAGACTTTGACAATTGAACGCACCCGGTGAAATCAAAACATCAACAAAAACAGAGCTCCTGCCTTGTTTACAAAAACTGTGTACATAACATATGATATTGATATGTCTCATTAAAACACAACAAGATTGTCATTTTTCTGAAGGATTAAGAATAAAATTAAAATATGTGAAAGTGCAAGGATGTGTCAATCAAACTCGTCAAAAAACTTGAAGTTTTAATAACTTTTAAGTGAAATAAGATTTTTAATTAATTTTTGTGTAAAATGCTAATAAAACATATAATTCGTCATATTACTGTGTAGTATACAGAAAATATTAACTTCAAATCTGTGTCTTAGTACCTTTAAGGACTTTGAGATGGCTTAATGGTAACTTAATGGTGGTGTAAATGTTACTTAAAGGTGCTTAATGCTGACTTAAAGACAACCATTAAGCCACAATTAAGGACCTATAAGCCACCATTTGATCAATTTCTAAAACGAGTTAAATTGACAGGCACGATTATAAAAAAAGGATATCAGCTGTATCGTTTAAAGTTGTCATTCCGTAAGATCTATGGACGATACAATGATGATAACATAGTACTTCTAGTGATTCGCCTTCACAACAGTTACTATTTTTGTAAGAGTTAAAGATAAGGGCTTGATCATTGTCCAGTAAATGTATATATTTGTTCCTGAGGAATTTTATATATTTAAGAAATCGATTAAAGTTAGTGTACATTGACTAATTGTAGGATAAGAACTACAGATGAATACAGAATGCATTAAAATATTTTTACTGTTGATTTATCATGCGATCTTTAAATTTCTGAGGAGAGAAAAACACCATTTTTTAAAATGGAAAAAACAATTCGTTTGCATAAAACAATTAACTACTAAGCTATGTATTCTTCAGCATTGAGGTCTATCTTTTCAGTAGAGACGGAAAAACTGTCAATTGTTATTAACGTTTATTGACGCTAGCTAAGGTTAACATGAAATATATGGAGATAACAAACAGTATTTCAGATCAAAAGTCCATGAAACAATTCAAAATATGAGAAGAACAAACACGAACATTTTAAACATCAGAAGTTGGATCGGGTGCCATTGATGAGTGAGCATCCATTGCTAACCTGACATACCCGCTTTGTGCTCCTTGTCACGATCGGAAAATAACGGAAAAATCCCGTCGTCAATTCAGTGTATAAAAATAAACATTTACCTGTAGAACGTAATAAGATATGTGGTAAATACGTGTTTCAAAGTGCAGAGGTTAAGGCAATCAATCTGAAGATAAGCGTCACTTATAAATTGATGGACATTTCATGCCTCTTATCAGTCGTGGAGAAGATCTAAAATGTTGATTTTACTAAGTCTTCTATTCTATCAGCAAATCTGTTTTGCGTTTGAATATACTGATGAACTCCGCATGTTAGCAAATAGGGTGACCCAGTTGGAAAGGACTATTGGAAAAGAACAGCAGAATTCAGTGCAAAGAGAATTTCAATCAATGAATTTGGAGGTAAAAACAGATATTCCACATCCAGACTTCAGCAAAACAGACAATAAACCACGTATTCAGGAATCTGAACTACACGCACCAGACAAAGACACGAACGGTTCAAAACTTAAAACTTGTGATGATCGAATTCTGACTTTAGAGAGAACTGTTGGTGACTTATCCAAGCTTCTCAAAAACCAGGAAAACGAAATCCAACATATTCATAATCTTGAAGCAAGACTTGATGAGCAGGAAAAAATCATTTCATATTTAAGAAAGCACATTTCAGAAAATGAAATTAATGTCCAAACATTTCAAAATGAAGAAATGATACCTAAAGGCATGGAAATTGAGGAAGCTGATGCATCTCTACCCAATGAATCTGAAATATCCAAAATCCGAAGGACTAAGGAGAAAAACAGTCCTTCCAAAGTAAATATAAACAAAAGTAAGACAGTGTCATCTTAACATTCCATTTTCTTCCAATGAATTAAGGATAAATCACACCAAAAATCTTTTTTTTTTTTTAGAAATCAGCTATATTTTTCATAAATTTACATTTTAATTAGTAACCTGAATGTTAACCAACTATATTGAGGGTATTTTATAAGATTTTGTCATTAGGTTAAAAAAAATGTGCAAAATTTTGTAAAGAATTATATAGAAGGCAAAACAAAGTCATATCTAAGCATAAAGAAAAACATACGATTTCTTCATATTTTGGGAATTTATCATTAATGTCATTTCAAATCAAAATCAGACAAACATTATCTATCAATCCAGGTATCAAATTTTTGTTTGTGTTAACACTTAACAGTAGAATGTATATAAATCCCTGGTGGGATCTTGTGCCATTGAGTACTGAGCGTCCCTACCTACAGGTCAGATCCGGCAAATATTTTCTGAATGACCGAAAAATAGCGAGAAAATCTGAACCATTTAAGTGTGTACATAATAAGCTCACAGTTTGATTAGATTGAAAAACATAAATCGCGTTGTAGTAAGTGATATTATGTATAGCATTTGTTTGAGTTTCGAATAAATTGAGAGATATAAACCCCGTTTGCGGGTGATAAGGATCTGTTGCAGTATCATAAATTAACTTTGTTATATTGGGTCAACTCTTTTATCATTAAATTTGTTTGCTAAGTTACCAATAACATTTTTGTTTCTAGGAAAATATTAAAAATGAATCAAATGAGTCGAGCACTGTGGTGTCTTTCTTCTAAAGCTCACTTTTGTCGTATGAATGAAAGTTGCAATTCTTAATTGATAATGCGTTGTTAAAATGTCAAAATATTGAACTGTGCTTTTTTATTTTTCGAGTATAAGGCTTTGAATAAAGTCTGCTTTATATTAATACAAAAATAAGTCTGCTTATAACGGGCGTAACTGGTACCCATGGAATTTCTGACAGATTGTTGAAAGGCACATAATTAAGTGTATATTACAGAATAATGGATCATGTTCTTAGGATTATTGCTTGAAAAAACTATTTTAATTTAAAAATTTCAAGTTGGTACAGTAATATTTCTATGTTGTCAGCAATAATTCGAAAGTTATTTTTTATGCTCTGTATACTTTTTTAAGATCTTGTAAGGTTTACAAGTTTTATAACAAGTTTATTTAATTCTACTTAAGGTAGCTAATCAATGTCACGTGATCGCTATCCGTAGCTACGTTAAACAGAACGCTTTTTTGTTTTAAACCATTACTAAACAATTGATATCACTATATGATTTTTCCTTTTCAATATTGTAAGGAAGCGATTTGTTAAGGCCAATTGGCCTTATAATAGTTTTTGGTATACTAATTTATAGAGTTCCGACAACATCAATCATACAACACCCACTGTAATAAATTTAAAGTTCCCATATTATTTGTACCTCCTTAATGAAATTTGCTTTGCTTCAAAAGTTCATTTTTGAAGGTTTTAGTTTTAAAATAACAATCAAGTTTATTGTGTAATTCTTTCAGAGCGATTGCTTTCACCTGTGACAACACCATATCCTTCTAACACGATTCAAACCATTGCATTTTACGCTTATATGTCGAAACACACACCAACAATAACTATACAGTATCCACTGACGTTTGATGTCGTGAAAACCAACTTCGGAAATGGGTATCATTCCACCACGGGGGTATTCATGGTGCCGGAAAGCGGAGTTTATGTGTTTACTTGGACGATCAGAATTGGCAGTAATAATTATCACGCAACACAGTTGATGGTGAATACGGATGAACTGGGTATAATTTACTCATATGTTGGCTCTGGTCCAGACCTTGGAGGAACAGGTATTGTTGTGGCACACGTCGACAAAGGAGACGACGTGTACGTGAGGACACATGCTTTGTGGAATAGTGGAGTTATTTACAGTGACGCTTCGGGAAGATCGTCATTTGCAGGGTGGAGACTATTCTAAGTGTTAGATTAAAAATCGCTAGAAAATCAAAACTGATAAACTTTATCAAAACCAATTTGACAATATCATTAAATGTGATTTTCATAATTCATAAATTCATAAATTTATTTTTTTTTTATGTTTAAGACTAAAATGGAAGTTTTGGGTTTAACGCTCTATTTGTGTTTTTTATCTAATGCATAGCAATGTTTAGGACTGATGTTTCTTCCAAAATTGTAAAGATCATGTTTTGGGGCTTAGGCTATCTGTTGTTTTAGTGGAATTCATTATAAAGTGAAAATGCATCAATGATTTAAAATAAATCTTCTTTGCTCCTTGGCGTTTAGCAAGAAAAAAGGAGAATAACGTTGCCATGTATTCTATTTATCTTGTTGTAAAATGAATTTGCATTCAACCTAGAAGTTATTCCTATTTGCACTTCACCTCTGATAGAAAAAAAATCATCAGTGAAGATTAAGTAAGTGATAGGTCAATCGAATAAAATGAATAAAACAAGAATTCCAAAATGTATGATACAAAAATTATTTTCATAGATTTCAGTGGTCCGATACATTAGTAAATTATTGATGAATAAAAATGAGACAAAAAATAACTTTTTCCTCAATAAGTATTTTTTTCAACAATCAATATGAGAGGGTTTGAATATACTAGAAGTGCACAAGCACTAAAGTTCTATTTGCTTAGTGATAGTGATAAATAGGATTGCATTAGCACCTGCAAGAACAAGCAAATGAATACGTCTACGATCTACTTTAATGACATGTTACTAACTACTAGACCTATTACCTATCATCCTATTTGGTTATTTTTAGACCAACATATTTTCTTTTTATTAGTTTTCCTAGATGTTATACTTCTTTGAATCTGTCGCCCGCGTGGCGCAGTGGTTAAAGCGTCTGCTTTAGGGTCAGGAAATAAGGAGTCAGTCCATGTGTCTTTGGTTAGATTCCCACCATTGGACGCGGGGACCAATTAATGGGATGAAATCGTATAAACCGAGGTCCCGTGTTGCAGAAGGTGCTGGCATGAAAATGATCCTCCCTGCTCAATGACCCTGAATGCTGAGCATAGGACAAAATTTTCAGCTCTCCACCGGCAAGTACAGGCGTCTCCATTTGAGTGAAAAATTCTCGAGAGGGACGTTAAACAACATGCAAATAATCTATGAATCTTGTATAATATTGTATTATACTTATCCGACTATAAGGTCTCAAGACTCTAGTTAAATATGATTTTGACACAAATATATATGTTATTTTTATTGACTTCAAGCCGATATTATCTTTTCAAATTTTACTTTTTTTTCAATTTTCAAAGAATTATTGAAAAACAAACATTACAAAGTATGCGTTTTCGTTAACCTAAGATAATAATTTTTAATATATTTAAAGAAAAAATTGCATGAAAAACAGTTTAGAATTTGAGAATTATTAAAAATAAATATACATTTTTTTAGATTATTGTACTATACAATTTCAAGAGAGTTTCAATTGGACTCTCGCTTTATCTGAGGACCCCAAAATATTTATTGTTCAATATAATCCATCGTCACCGGTGTAGACGGACGTATGCAATACAGCACTCGGTAGCGACGAAATATAACTGTGTACTTCTTCTAATGCAGAAAAGAAAGATTCCGAGGAACTTACAATCAGGAGTAACGAATATGATGCCTATACCCTGTTCTGATATCATTGATATAGTTATATCGAAAATGGCCTATGCCCATTTAGGAGTCTTGCTTAGCTTTAAGCGGTCCATATAAACCGATATGTTTACGCTATAAAAGATCACGTTGACCAATAAAATTGAATATCTACAGGAACAGTAGCAGTAAATCTATAGAATGATTTATATTTTTACTTGTCAAGTTAGAAGCATTCTTTCTAGGACAACTTGAATTCAATAAAAGTACTATGGATGCTCACTCCTCAATGACACCTGATCCAACCTCTGATGTTCTGATGGTCCTTGTATTCTATGCTTCTGACTTATAGTGTTTAGTGGTCTTTTGAGCTAAAATACTGTTTGTTATCTTCATATACTTCATAAGAACATTTCTATGTAACTTGCCCTTCACAATGACCAGTTCCCCCGTGGGTTTCCGGAAATATTGACCAAAAAAATAATCTTCCTGCAGATTTGATATGTATTGCCAATTGAAATACGTTTAATTTTTTCCCATAATATAAGCAGTGGTTGGGTTGATACGTAATCTCTCTATTCGTTAAAGTTACCTTTTCCTTGTTAAATCCACCAGCCTTAGTGTAAGGTTCCTTTTCAGAACTTAAAATAGTGTCCTTATGTAACCTTATTCAGCGGAAGATATGTCCTCATCTTGATAGATATCATCTGTCTTTTTTTTGTCTCATTCTTTTCTGTAATTTGTTTTATTTAGGTCATTACATAATCAATTATATATTGATAATCGTGCATAAAAAATAAATAATTTAAAAAAAAAATTTGCTTACGTTCGTGAAAAAAAGTTCGTAGGACTACTTTGTTTTGAATATATTATTTCATTTAATATAAAACATGCAGAATGAATCCATCATTCTTTCGGAAAAGTTACTAGTTTTAATAATTTATCTTAGATAAATATCAAATAAGGAAAAATTGTTTTTAATATGCCTTATAGGATATAAAGGTTAGGTAAAAGAGACATGCGTTTGTTTGTCATGATTCCACTCTATATATAAAATATTACAATTCACAAGGGAAAATGTTGAAAAAAGAGAAAAGCAAAACCACCATAATCCCTGATTATTTCCAGATTCCTCTGATTATTTCTAGTGCATTTCGTGACATGAAAATAAAAGCTGATATTTGAAAAACCCAGACTTTGAATGCAGGAAAGGAAGAGATGTAGCTTTTTAAAACATCCTGTTTGTACAGCTCAAACAAAGTAAATTATAGAAATTTTAAATTCTCACGGTATATTATCCTTATACTTCGTGAACTAAATAGTATTCATTTGACTAGCATTTTTTTTTTTGGATTGGAATGCACCTTTTCGTGGAAAACAAGAAAATTATACCAGCTGACAAAAAAATTGCAAATTAAACAATAGTGAATTTAAAAACTGCTCATTAAGATATAAAGAAGAAAGATTAATGGGGGGACTATTTCTTGTTGTGGAAGAATATTTAGAAAAAAAAATTCAAATCTACACATTTCTTACATAAAAGATATGGAGATAACGAACAGTATTCAATATCAAAGGTCAATAAAAGAATACAAATTAGGAGCAGAGCAATCACTGACCTCAAAAACATCAGAGGTGGGATCAGGTGCCATGTAAGAGTAAGCATCCTTTGGCGATCGGTAACAACTGCCGTGTGCTCCTTGTCATGATCGGGAAATAATGGAAAAATCCATCGCCAATTCATGTATTAAAATGGACCAAGAATTAGTAGGGGAAACGTCTGTCAGCATTTGACTCAATGATAAATTGTATTTGCTGACAAGTTCATTGTATCGACCAAAGGTTTTTCGAAATTATGAATTAAACGAGACTGCTAATATTCTTGTTTCATCAACTTGCTGGTCAATAACTTACAACGTTTTAGAAATTGTTCATACGTAGAGCATGATCTTGCTGCATAAGTAAGAGAAGTTGACAATAGCATTATAGAAAAATATATCATATAGCTTTGTTGTTAGATTACATCATTAACCTTTTTTTTTAAAGTAAAATATCCAAGTGTGAAAGAGTTGTTTCAGACTCTGTGGTATCTTTTACCTCAAGCTCACCAGGATATATCGTGTCGACATAAGAGTGGAAATTACCAATTGTAATTGACAATACGTCGTCGATATGTCTAAATGTTGAGTTGAAAGTCGCAGCAAGTGTTTTCTCCTTTTCATGCATAAGATTTTGCAGAAATGCTGCTTCATATAAAAACAAAAATAGGTGTGCTTATAAAGGAGCGCAATTGGTACCAAAGGCAATTCCAATAGATTGTTGGAAGACCTGATTTTCAAAAACCACATAAATATTGTCAATCAGAATCTCAAACTTATTTTTGATGTCAACTTAAAAAACTTGTGTGTGCAATCAGAATGTGTTTTCACAAAATAATTTTGCAAATAATCAATTACCAGGTGATTAAATTACCCTTTATTCCATTAAGGTATGTCATTCGTGAAATTAGTTAAAGGAGTATTTGAGAAGTACATCTTTTTTCCTTTTTTTGTTACCTGTTTTTGAGAAGTACAATTTAGATAAGTAGTCATATTGCATTATTCAAAATCTCAAAGAAATTTTGTCAGTTTGCATCTTACTGAGCACCGATACAATTAACTTGACTTTTTGCACCTAAATTGCAAATCTTAGATTAATCTCTAATCGTAACCATACTTTATCGAATGTAATCATGGCAATAAATATAATCTTATTTTATGTAAAAAAGATTAAATAATGCGTATCATAGAGCAACATGCAAATTATTTCGCGTTAATTATTGTGTGACCTTTTTGCACTAAAAAGTATCAAAGTTGGGATATTAAAAATCTAAATAGGCAATAAAAGAAATTCATGTACCAAGCTTTTTTTTTTTAATTCAGTGATGATCGGTTGGAAGTACCGTATAGTTCAAAATATTGAAAGAAAAAATTAGGGCTAGTAATGTAAATTTTTAGATATTGGTCAAAATATGTAATTTTCAGGCCAAAAAAGCATCTATTTTAGTCTTCTTTAATACATTTTCATTTCTTGGCACAGTCTGTTGAGTGAATGTATAAAATGTTTTTTTAAATATACATTGGCACCTTTATTTGATATTCCAAGCACATAAGAATGAAAAAATATTCTCTGAGTAAAAATATTTTGGGTTAAAGTTCAAACATTTTAAATTTTCTTACTTGGGGTTAGGAGCTGTCAAATAGAGGTAAAGAGGGGTAGGAGTTCGGGGTGTGATGGGATGGGGTTGAGGACTTGGGGCTGGGCTAGGGGAACGGATTAGGGGTTGAGAAGGAGGTGATGTATTGACATCTACAGT